TTTTTTATATATATATATATATATATATATATAATTTAAAAAAAAATATATATATATACCATTTCTGTCCCCCTCACTTCTGAAATGATGGCTACGCCCCTGAGTTCACCCGTGTATATGTAAAGAAAAAAAATCGAGCCCATAATTTTAAATCAAAACATCTTGACTCAATCTTCCAGTGAATTGTCAGACTTCTCTCTGGTGACGTGTACCAGACTTCTCCAATCATTTTGTCCGCTTAAACTCCGCCCCTTCCTTACAATCAATTACAAGCTCGCATCCAGATCTGCCTGTCTCCTTTTTCTTTTTTGATCATCTATTTTACTTCAAATTTGTGCTTGCTCATATCTAAGCTCTAATGTCTTTCTGCTTAGGTTAACGTGGGGTTACTGGTCCTGAGCATGCTGGGATTCTGCCTGCCCAGTTATCTTCTGTGCTACGGCAGACGGCTGCACCGAGAGAAGCAGGAGCGCGAGGAAGACCCCAAGATCTACGTCCAGATCAACAACGGCACAACCCCCGAGGCCTTTATCTAACTGCAATGCACAAATGACAGCAGCTAGCATAAAGAGCAGGAAGAAGGAGGGTGGGAAATAAAAGAAGAGAACTGAAAGTCACAAGAAGAGTGATAAACACCTCCCTGATCCCTCCTTCTGTCTGTCACACACATTCATGTATTCCCAACAGGCACATAACACTCAAACAGGCACAAAATACAGCCAAAGCAACCGAGTCTCACAACATGCCACGCAAACACACGTTTACACACAAAGGACTGAATGGACACTGTGAAAGGCAGGCCTAGAAAAAATATTATGCCCTTGTCCTTGAAACAGACAAGGACTTCTAGACTTTATATCCTGCCTGACAAGAAAGAAGAGAAAGGCCCTCTTTTCTCACGATTTTACCTTTTGAATTTCAGACCACGACGATACAAAAGACGAAGCAGATTCAGTGAAATTCTCTCAGGTTTGAGGAAGCCTGATGACAAGAGTATTACTACGTCACTAGTGTTCAGCTTTGTTGCCAAACTTGTTTCAAACATTTTCTGCAACTAAAAACCCATTTGTGAACTGATTTGAAATCACTATGAACACTTTACATTGCTCTCAGCTCATAAAGCTGCTGAAAAGCGAGACGAGGACCCTCCATTGCGGTTTGAATATGACAAACTGACTAACTACCTTAAAGCAGAACGACTCTGCTTGTTATCTGTCCCATATGGGTTTTCAATGGAAGTGGGCAGATTTTAGATTTTAATCTCATACAGTATATACAGTACCAGCATGCTTTGGACAGCACGAGCATGAAACTACAGCTTTGTCTGAACTGGGCTGATTTTAAAGGACTTTTGGACCATGGCACCTGAGACTAATGTAACCTAAACACAATTTTAGTATGAGACTTGTACTATTATTTGCTTTGGCATGCAGATTCAGTACATCTACGTGCAAGATAATGCATTTTGTACATATCAGTCCATTCAGAAGGTTGTAGAAGCCATGTGGGTCTAAAAGGTTTGGATTAAGGCGGTATTTTGGGGATTAGCCTCACATTTCGATCAAGACTGACGATCTTCACCAGCAATACTCGTACCGTTCCCTATACCACTTCCCCATGCAGTACTACTGGTTGAGCTTCACTTGTTAGTGTTTATTTCCTTGTATTGACTCAATTATTCAGGGTGTTTGACTTTTAGAGTAATAATTCATATCAGATGTATTCACCTGCAATATGATCCCTTCAAGCTTTGCTTTGCCACTTGTGCGTTGAGGGGTATAAAATGAGACAAAGTGTACTCTCGGTAAAGAGATTAGATGCCATTATCATATATATACATATATATCTTGCACTACAGGGTTTATAATTACAGCGGTGCTTACATTAGCCATTACGGAGTATATGCGTTCTGTTCCAACCTCATACATACATGGAAACCACGTTAGCCATACACGTTACAAGATTTTTGTGCGTTCTCTTGATTTCTGGGTTGGCTACCATTTAACTACGGTGCTTACTAGAATAGAAAAGCAACAAGATTTCTATGTTGGTCAAGATACAGAAGCCGAATACAGTATTTATTTGGCTACTCAACCTTGTGGTGATAAGGACTTGAATTGAATTCATAGCGATTAAAAAAGGGAGACTTTTGAGACATGCTTGACGACAATCCCTTTGGAAAACCCATATACTTGTAGCTTATAATGGGTTTCAGGCCAGTATTGTGCCCTATGAAAGATCAAATGTGGTAACTACATACAATTGAGCGAAATTGGGTCTTTTAGACTGATATGTCACATGACAGATGGGTATTTTCAGAAAATAGTGTGAACAATTATGTAAAATCAATCAAATATCTTGCAACCATTTTTCTCGATTCCAGTGTTGTAGTTAATGTGTTTTGCGTAAATCACTGAACATTTCTCAGCAAAACATTGATTTGAAAGATGGTAGGGTTAGGGTTAAGTCACAACCTCACTTACTTTAACAGTATTTTCATTGTAAACTTATCTGAAATTATGTTTGTATGAGATCCTAGATGAGTAAATATCTTCTCAACAGTGGCCATAAATGTAACCTTATTTTATGACCCCTCTGAAGAGGAACAGGTCAGATCCACCTAGCAACATCCACTTATTGTCTGTCACACTTTTTTGTGACTATTTTGTCAGAGCTGAGGCTAGACGTGAGTCCTGGATGGACTGCATTTGCTGGCTTGAACATGACTGGATATTGCAAGTGAATTCCAATCTAAAGCAGTACTGTACTAAGCATAATGAATGTGAGAGCGAACCCATTTTGCTCTCAGAATGAGAGAAGTAGCACTTTTTCTCACTGCCATACCTTAAATTTTCATTCTTTTCTCAAGTAACAATCACATTTTATTTTAATTTTAAATGTTGATTTATTATACCCCATTGTACTTGTATGAGTGTGGAAAATGCCCATACGCAGTATAGGGAAGAAAAGTGGGAAAGATCATCTTTAACACCAGTATTTTCTCTCTGTATTGTATTTTTAGTGTAATTTGTTGATTATTTGGTTGATTTTTCTACCCTGTAGTTTTTTTTTTGTAAGTGTATGTGTACATATTTTTTCTATTTTTTTTTTTCTTTTTGTGGGCGTTTTACTGTATTTTGGCTTTTGGTTTTCTTCATTCTATCACTATATAGCAACTTTTTGAATAAATGTCCCAACAAAATATCAGATATGTGAAATTAAATAAAAACAGATTAATTTGTATGAAATGTTTGTTTTTGAATTTTTTCTGGTAATGCATAAACCAACATAAAAATCTTAAAGGGGTCATATGATGTTGCTTAGTTTCGCTTTCACAACGAAACACAGCGTCACACATGGTGGCCTATAGTGAGCGGCGGCCGGTGGGCTTAAGAACGGCACGGCGGGCGGGCTTGTGGCAACCACATGTGACGACCCCGGGCTGGACTGATGTAGGTATGTGGGGGCGTGTTAGAACGAGCCGTTGTAGGTAGGTGTGGCTGACTCTTAACTTTTATAAAGAATATCTCTTTGGATTTGAGACTTTAGTCTTTGCAACTTTACAGATCTTCTTTATGCACCAAGAGCTTGTAACACTCCAAAGAGAAAGGAAAAATTGAAATCGCATCCTATGACCCCTTTAAGATTATGAACTGCTTTTGAAGATCAGCAAATAGTACAGTAGATGGCAGTGTGAGTTCACCTGAAGATTTTCTGAGAATTCATCTGCAGTTTCAGTAAGCGTTGGAAGATTGGCCAACCTTTTGCGCTGTTACCTTTTATTCAATATATATAATATACTTATGTTGTAATTTAAACAGGTATTTCTATAAAATGACACCAGACTGTCAGAAAATTAAGAGGATGGAACCAAGGATATAACTTGAGGGTGTATATACTGTATATATAATATCATGTTGTACAAGGGTGAAATATTTCAAACTGAGAGAGAGCGAGAGCGAGAGCGAGAGAGAGAGAGAGAGAGAGAGAGAGAGAGAGAA